GAGATGAAGATGCATTGAAATCTTGTGCTGGATCAGATCTCCTCAGCATCTCCTCCTGCCTGAATCAGAGCTCACTCTGCTCCTGATGAGGCCAGACAAAGCACCTGTTCTGTGACACACACTGGAGTCGTGTTTTTAAATTGACTTGAACTGTAAGACCAAACTGCTCATGACATCCACAACTCAGACCTCAGCCTACGGGAAAGGTCCCTTATAAATACCTGTAGGGGACTTTAAATTCACCCTTTATAAACCATTTACAGAGACAAATTACCTCAATAAGTGTTATCGGGAGAATGGGAAAATAAAATTGAAACCCATATCAAATTCAAGTTGACAAAAGGACATCTCTAGAACTCAGTGCGATGTCTTTGGCAACCAAGTATAAAGTTTAAAATACATAGAGCCTTAAGCACCAGCACGTGCAGTCGTGCACATGCACACCCGGAAAATCCATTCACATTCCATCCATTTTAAATGAAACATTTGAGGACCAGGTAAACAAAATTCTTGCAAGATGTCTGTTCAGGAAATTAATTTAAAATATCTTCATCATGGATCATCAGTCATAACTGAGGTACTGGCTCTGCAGGCTGGGAAGAACACGAACCATTTTTTAGTGTCACTTTCTGCGCCTCTGCTGCCATCAACATCCCACAAACCCCACAGTAATATTCAGACTGGGGGAAAATCCAGGGCCTCTTGGATGCTGCAGAAAGAGGAGAGGGCAGGGGAATGTGAGCAGTAGGATCAAAGCCAGAGACAGAGCCAGGAGCCAGAAGCTGAGGCTCAAACACATCCCGTCCCAGACAGAAAAGGCTGTTTGAACATCAGAAGTCTTAATTGTGCTGAGGTCTTCGCAGCTTGTGGTGTTTCAGTGTGTATGAGCTGAGGGTGTTTCCTCCTTGTGGGAAAAGTGGAGTCAAACAAAACTCTGGTCAGACCCCATGTCTTGTTTGAGGCACAGAGGCCTTTGTTCCCACAGCGATACCACGCTGCAGCCCTGGCCCTCAGCCTTTCCCAATACAGTTCCTGAGGCTGATGCTGAGAATCCTCCCTCAGGTGTTTTCCAGAGTCCCTGTATTTCACTCCAGAGGCTTGGCAGCTCTGGGAGGTTGGAAGAGCAAAGACCTGGAATCCTCATCCACTAGGCAGCACATATCTTACAGCATCTCCCTTGATTTTCACCATCTCAGGTGTTAGCTCTGCTACTTCAGTGTTTTAGGGGCTACAAGACTTGGTATTAAAGCCCAGCTTGGTGTTTCACCCACACGGAGAGCTGACGAGGTTTCTCTGCAAATGCTCTTCCTCGCTGGTGGCCAGGCAGAGCTGGGCAGAGTCTTTGGCCCATCAGAACCTGGGGTGTGGCAGCCCCTGCCCACGGCCGTCCTGCCCCCGGCAGGAGCCAGCGGCAATGACCCCGTCCCGACCGGTGCACCGGCCCTCCTCCATCCTCCTTCTCCAGCTGCTCTGCTGTCGGGACATGAGGTTCTTCGGTCACGCAAGCAGGATGGAGGACATCGCCAAATTTTGCTTGGCTGGACTTTGATTTTTGTTTTTATCTTCTGCAGCTTGTAAAAAGGCTTTTAAAAGACTGGACAAGTCTCTCTGTTTTCCCCATGGGCTCCGCTTCTTTATGACTTTTTCCCCTCTGTCTCCAAAGGGGCTGAAAATAACGGGCTTGCGTTAAGTTCCCTCGAATGAAAATGATTCCATTCCCAAATTGCCTGAGGACGGTGCCTCCCAGAAGTTGTTTTAGGACTGTTATTGCAGGACCAGCAAGGGGAGCTCAAGCCTTGTTTACGGTAGGTCCTGCACTAATTGTCTCTGGTAGCGAGGGGATTTCCATCCCGGTGCGTGACCCGCATAGGGATACCCACGGGATGGATCGTGCTGCGGCGGGCGGGGGCTGCGGCACTTCGCGGGACAGCGGGGGGTGGGAGAGGGCGGCCGGTCCTCGGGCAGGAGCGAACAGGGACATGGTGCAGGGGTCGACCAGGGCCCAGCCGGGGAGAGATGCCGAGCGCCGACACGTCAGCGCAAAAAAGAGCGTTTTTCTGCCCAAGTCCGGCCAGCTGCGCCAGCTGCCAGCCGGGGGGAGAGCGGGGTGGCAGCCGGGCCGGCCCGGGGCGGGGCGGGGATCTGCACGACCCCGCGCTCTCGGCAGCCGGGGGGAGGCCGGGGCAGCCACCGCCGCGCCCCCGCCCTGCCCCGCTCCGCCCAGCCGGGGCGCGGGGGCCGGGGCGGGCGATCGCCCGGGGGCCGCGGTGGCGGGGCTGTCCCCGCCGGGCCGGGCCGCCTCGTCCCGCTGCCATCCCCCGCTGAGGCGCCGAGCCCGGGTACTGCGGCGAGGCTGCGGCTCCGCGTCCGCGCTGCGCCGGGGCCGCCGGGGGACCGGGCGGGCGCCGCTGCCGCCGCGGCCGTCACGGGGTTAATCGCGGCGGAGCCGCGGCGCGGGGCGGTCTCCCCGCCGCGCCTCCCGCCCCGCGGCCGCCCCCGCCCGCCCCTCGCTCCGCCGCCGCACCTGCCCGCGCCACCGCAGCCAACTTTCCCTGCCTGTTGCGCGCACCGAGCATCGCGCCCCGCGGCCGCGGCGATGGGCGTCGCGGGGCAGCGCCGAGGGTAGGCGGCCCGCGGGGTCGGGCCGGGACCGCCGCCGCAGCTCTGCGCGCCCGCCGCGCCTTCCTCCGCCGCCGCTGCCGCGCTCGCTGGCCATGGAGGTGCAGCTGGGGGTCGGCCGCGTCTACCCGCGGCCGGGTGGCAGGACCTTCCGCGGGGCTTTTCAGAGCTTCTTTCAGAGCGTCTGCGAAGCTTTCCAGCCGCCGCGGGAGGAACCGGGCGCGGGGCAGCTGCCGTCGAGCGCGCCCTGCCCGCCGAGCCCCCGGCCGCCGCCGGGCTCCCCCGCCTGCCTGCCGCCCCCCGAGCCCCGCGCCGCCGGGAAGGCGCTGCCGGCCGCCGGCCCCGCCATCGGCTCGTCCTTCCCCTGCGCCGGCGAACTGAGGGAGCTGCTGGGCGAAGCGGGATCGATGCCGCTGTTGCCGCCGCCCGAGGCCGAGCCGGCGGACAAGGACGACCCGCTAGGCGACAGCGCCCGGCAGCTGTGCCGCGCCGTGTCCGCCTCCATGGGGCTGGCGCTGGAGGCGCTGGAGGCTCCGGCCGAGCCGCTGCCCCGCGAGGACTGCATGTTCGCCGTGCCCGCCGGGCCGCCCCGCGCCCCGCACCCGCCCGCCCGCGACCCCCCGCCCGCCTTCGCGGCCGCCCTGGCCGCCGAGCCGCCCGCCGGGCCGGGGCTGCCCCGCGGCTTCGGCCGCGTCAAGCTGGAGAGCGCGGCGGGGCCGGGGCCCGCGGCGGGCGGCGGCTGGGGCGGTCCGTGCCGCTTCGGGACCGAGCTGGTCCCGCCGGGCCCCGCAGCCCCCTGGCCCACCTTCTTCGCCGAGGAGGGGCAGCTGTACGGGCCGTGCCCCGAGCCGCCCGCCGACTGCCCCGCCGACGCCTGGTACCCGCCAGGCCGGGCGCCCTTCGCCGCCCCCGCCGCCGGCATCAAGAGCGAGCTGGAGCCCTGGGTCGAGGGCTACGCCGGCGCCTACGGCGACCTCCGGTGAGTACCCGCGTCCCACCGGCACCGGCATCCTGCACCCTGCATCCCACATCCCGCCGGCCGGCACCCCGCGTCCTGCATCCCACCGGCACCCTGCACCCCTCACCCCGACCCTGCACCGCGCCCCTCCGGCCGCCCCTCTGCCTCCGCAGCTGCCCCGCGCACCCCGCGACTCCAGCCCCGCTCTGTCCTCGGTGCCCCTCTCCGCTGCCGCACCTTCCCTTTTGCCGGGACGCTGTCGCTTGGACTGACTAGGCGAGATCGTGCCAGGAGTACCTTGGAGTACCCGGTGCCCGCGCTGTTTCGTGAGATCGTTGTGTTTATCGCATTTCTTCACGCTCCCCGCCGCTGGGAGTGGGCAGGATCGGGATGCTGTGCCTGAAGCACGGACGGATCTTAAGATCTAGTTAAAATCCTCCCAGCGCCCGGAATGCGCTGTGCATAGCAGGGAACCCCGAATGTAGCGGCAGAAAAACATCACCTGTGCTTCCGGGCTGTTTTAAGTACAGGTAGAAAATGTGTTTTGAAGTAGAGCTAGAATGGGTTTTGGGAATGCAGCAGGGAAGGAGAAGTTTGTTTGAGAAGTAGGATTTGATCAAAAGTAATTTTTCCTGGTGAATTAACCTCAAAAAAAGGCGATGAACCACCTCTGTAAAATCGTGTACAGCATCTAAACCAGTGGGTACCTGCGTGCTCACCTGTCAGCACGGCAAAGCACGGCCGTGTTGATGGAAACGGGAGGGAGGCAGGGCTGCACAAGCGATTTTCTGCTGCCTCAGAGGCAGCCCCGGCCATGAGTGTGTGAGGCCTCAGCTGAGGTTTGCAGTCAAGGAAGTCCTGCATCCACATGCTCACCCTGTGGTGCTCGGGATGGTGGGAGCAAAGGCTGAACTGAACAACTACATTTTCCCGCTAAATTAGCATGGGGTGACTGTGCTGCCTCTGGGCTTGTTTGTGCATTAAATGTTCATGGCTTCGTTTGGGCACTGTGGCAGTTTCCATCCATGCAGTGATTTACTGGGGGATCGTACAGAGAAGTTGAGGGCTTGGCAAAAAATAAGGGGATAAAATTAAAGATAGGTCAAAAAGAATCCAGCTGTGAGCATCATCCAGCTGTGAGCTTCGTACGTGGCAGGAGCTGTGCAAGTCCCGGGTATGCCTCTGGACTCTGGATAAATCTCTGCTGGAATCAGCACAGAGGGAGCAGGGAGGAATCAAGTTGGAAAAGTTCAGCGTTCCGGATACTGGTGATGGTGGTGCAGGTTTGTGCTGACAGAAGGCTCGGCCGTGCAGCCGTTCTGCCTGCAGAGCCTGTGCAGGATCCTGCACGGACAGGGAACATTGTGCTGAGGAGAGCAGGTCTGGGCTCCCATGGAGGTCCGTGGGCAGTCGTGGGGGCTGGACCAGACAGCAGCAGGTACATTTTGCCCGAGTCATGCCTTAGAGATAAATGACATTTCCCTCATTCCTGAGGCAAGTGCTGTATCCTCCTCTTCCTTGCGGCTCTGTTCAGTGTGCCGTGACTGCGTCCTGCTTCCCCTGGCAGACTTCTGTGGGATCAGCGGAGTCTCGGAGCTGGCACAGTGACCTTTTCAACACCAATATCTTGTCCTTTGAACTCCAGTGCTTGTACAGCACTACCCTGCTGCTGCGAAGGTATGATGGGCTGACGGGGTTTATCCTTTCTCTGTGTTCAGATGCAATTTTCAAACACCGTAAGGAAAGCGGAATGCTCTGTCGTGGTCTGGCTCAAGCCATGTGTGTTAATCACTGCCAGGTTTAACACTTCATCCTAGCAAAGCCTCCATTAGCTTTACAGTGTGCTGCTGGCCCATTCCTGTGGCTTTGTGTTTTCTCCTGGATCTGTGGCGGTGCCAGCACAGGAACAGCTCTGCTGCTGCTGGAGCCTTGTGGGTTGTGTACCAGCATTACAGGCAACAATGCCTGCGAGGAGAAAGAGTCATGGGAGCTAAGAGGCTCTGTAGTAAAATTACCTGATGGAAGGATGATTGGCTCTGGACCTGCACCCCCCTGCTTGTGTCTGGTGCTGGGTCTGAGCTCCTGTCCTACATGGCATTGCCCAGCGAGCTTTCCCCTCGTAGCCTCAGAGGATGCAGCCTCAGCGCTCTGTGAGGGCAGTGGGGGGCACTCCTGGGTACTCACCCGGCCTGAGGCGATCGGTGCTTCTGCTCCCTGTGCCTGGAGGTGCTGGCAGGGCACACACAGCCTGCTTTGGAGAATAAGGAGCATTTCAAGGTGTGTTGCTCTCACTTGCTTCCCTCTCTGAATGGTCCCACTGTCTGCCAGCAGGATCGTGGCTCTTCCAGGTGAAGCTCTCCGAAGCTCAGCTCTGCCCTGTTGCAGTTGTGGCCAGGTATGGATAGGTATTTTTTGATTTAGAGTCAAACACCCCTCATATGACACTAAAGCATGAGCAGTTTGTTAATATTTGGGAGGAATTGGGATGGCTGCTGCTCCTGGGCAGGTCTGTAGCCACTTCTGCCCCTTTGGATGGCAGGGTGGTGTCTGGATTTAGAGGTGCGGACACATCACACAGAAAGACTGAGGACATTAATACAATTTGGGTTAATTTAAAGCTTTTGGTACTGTGTCCTTCATTGGGCCAGTTGTGCCTACGTGTAATTAGCAAACTAATCCCAGCTTTTGTCACCCCATAGACTGAGCTGTTCATCTTTGTGCTCTGGTTGTTGCATCATTACTACCAGCAGTCTTTGAGGTGACTGAAAAACCTTTTTCAGGAGCAAGACACAGTACTGATAGAATAAATCCAAGGTTCCACCATCAGAATGACTTGGAAGATGAATCACAGAGGTGGGTAGGGAGGGCTGGCCTCTGGTTTAAGCTGAAATGGAATCAGAGAAGGAGCTGCTGCCAAAACAATGGAATGAAAGAGGAGAAAAGGATTTAAGGATCTCTTGGCTCAGGAAAATCTGCAGTCCACGTAGCTTCAGATGTTTTTAAGTGGCATTTGCTATCACTGGTGTTACCTGTTGCTGATACTGGTTGGAATCCTGGTGTTTGCTGGTCACACCTACCTGTGGCTCCTCTTCCCAGTCCAGCTGTGATCAGGTTGGGCCAGTGCCACATGTTTATACATCGCCTGGCTCGAGGGCTCTGTAATCATTTCAGCTCTGTAACTGTGGTACAGCTTACAGATAACACCTGCAGTAATTCCTGCCTGTGGAGGGAGGAGATAAGATTCTGACAAAGAGATGAAGGGATGAAGGGCAGCTGTTAACCCTGAGAGATGAGATGAGGCAGGAGGCCGCTCTCAGGGCTGCCCTCACTCCCAGTCCGTGCCCAGCAGCAGCTGCCCCAGCATCCCTGTCCCAGGAGGGCTCTGGGGACCCCCAGCTCTGTGCTGACAGGACTCCAAAGCCCTTGGGAAGGGGCTGACCCTCCTGTCTGCTATTGTCAGTGTGACCTTTCTGCTCTGGGGATTGGCCATAGGATGTAAATATTTCTTTTGGAAGCAAGCGGAGGGTGGCAGAACGCTGTGTGGGCAGCCGGTCCCTCCGGCCCATACAGACCCAGGGACAGGGAGCCTGGCAGAGTCAAGCTTGTTGTTTGTTTTCTCTTCTCCATTTATCAGGAACCAACAAATTTCTTCCTCAGCACCTCTCAATCCTTTCCCTGCCGAGGGGCAGGGGACAGCTGTGTTAGACACAGAGTAACAGCAGCACTGGGGCTGGACCAGGGAACTCGGGGCTCAGAGGGGTGTGAGCTGCCGTGTTACCAGGCTGTGGCAGGGTGCTCATCTCTCACGGCTGGAGCTGAGGTTGTGAAACAAGTGATGTGTTGAGGCCAGGTAACTGGAGCCATCAGGACGCTGGAGTTGTGCTCAGCAAGGAGAACCCTTCGGGCGGAGGGGAGCAGCCGAGCGGGCGCTGCCCCACACTGCTCTGGAGCAGGCACTGCAGGACTCTCTGCCTCCTCCCGAACATACACTGAGCCTCATAAAACGGTCTCCCCCCTTTCCCCTCCCTCCTCCGTCTGTCCCTCCCTCTCTTCCCTGCTCTCTCACGCTCCAGCTCTGCCTTTACCACTGGGAAGGAGAGATGGGTAACCTGTCAGGGGCTGGGCTGTGGAGGGCAGACACGTGGGGTGTCTGTGTGGGACCTGCCTCGCTGCTGACAGCACACAGCATCTCTCTGCCTCTTCACTGCTCCAGGGCAGACCTTGCCCCATCTTCCTCTGGGCTGTCCCATCCTCTTCTTCACGTCTTGAACTTTTGAGCTCTCATATCCTCTGGAAACTGGTTCCATAGTCTCATGCTTTGTATCAGCAATGATTATTCTGCCCTAGTTTCTCTCAAGTGCTGGCTGCAGTGCAAGATCAGGCTCTATGGGGCACTTGGTGTTGGAAGCAGTGGCTGAGAAATCAGAAAATTTTGCCAAGGAAATAATCCACAGAAAGCTTGAAGGACACCAGTGGGTTGGAGTCACATAGGCATTTTGTGTGCTCTGTCCTGTATTCCCGAGGCTTCCGAGCAGGAAGCTGTACAGGATCTGCCCAAAAAGCTGTACAGGATCTGCCCATGACAGCTCTCCTTCTGCTTGTACAGCTTTTACATTCTTCCTGCTATTTACAGATTCCTTGGTATTTATCTATTGCACAGATGAGCTGTGCTTTGCATTACTCCTTGCAGCCAGTCTTTGGCGTGACCACTGGTTTTCTTGTTAGGAGAACTTCATTCCAGCTCAAGAGCCAGTTAACAATAGGAAGTGCTTTGGTGCTGCTTTGAGGACAGAAGTATGTTCTCGAGGTGTCAAAATGCTGATTGAGAATAAGAAATAAAGTGTGTTTTGTAGTCCAGGGGACAGGAGTCACCCCTGGGTCAGTAGTCCCAGGGTGTCATTCCCTGGGACAAGATCTCTGCCACGGGGATGGGTAGCAGCTCCCAGGGCAGGAACCCCACCATGGGTACGGGTGTCAGTGGGTGTGGAGTTGGGACCGTGTCCCAGAGCCACAGAACCCGCGATTCCTGGAAATCACTGCCCCTGGTCCCTTTCTCAGAGTGAGGAAGGTGTGGGACAGCCCTGGGAAGGATCAAAGCAGAAACACTGTAGCGAGGCAGCGAAGGCGAGTGGCATCCGAGGGGCAATGCCAGCTCCAAGGCCATGCTGGGCGCTGGCAGAGACAACAGCCCGCTCTGTGTCTGTGCCAGGGGTCACTGCCACGTCCCAAGGGGAGGGGAAGGCGGGTTGCTGGTGGGCAGCGGGAGGAACGGGCACCGGGAGAGCTGGAGCGGATCAGAAGGCAAAGTCTGCATGGCAGGAGAGTGTGCTCCTGAGCTGGGAGGAAAGCTGGAAACAGTGCCATGTATTGCAGGAAGAAATCCTAAAATTTCCTAGGATATTGAAAATGTTGTAGTCATATGGGAATATTTTGTTTTGATGTGATGAAAGCAGTTTCATTCCACAGGGTTAAGAATAATTTGTAGTAGAGAGCAGTAGGTCAGTTCTTTGTGTTTTTCTGTCGTTCCCATTAATTCAACTCCTGTCTTGGCACAGACCCTCATTCATATTTTATAAATTGCTGTTTTGAAGGTGGCTGTCCCAGTTTGACAGTTCTCCATTGGCAGTTGCTGTCTGGAGTTGGAGCACTCGCTGGAGGCTGCTGGGTTTGGGTTTGCAGTGGATACTTTCTGCTAGTGATTGTGGACTAAAATTACAAAAGAAATAATTGTATTTATTTTATCATCCTGTGGAATGTTTTAAATTTATCAAATGAGTGTTTACTGAAAGAAAACTATTCTGTGGGAGACTTTCTATGAATTCTAGTAAAAACTGTTTGTTTCTCAGAGCTGCCCTGGGAGACCACAGAGATCTGTGCAGCTGTGGATGGCTCTGAGACATTGGAAATATGTAGAAAAAAAGAGGATTCCCCTTGGACAGCCACTCAGCATGAGGCCTGGGAGCATGGTGCTATGGGTACCATGGGATTATGTCAGCCCTGGGGCTGCAGTGGTGTCTGGGATGGTCCTGACACAGGAGCCCACACACACCTGAGTTCCAGAAGGAGAATTTTTGTGTTTGGTGTATTGCAAGATGACCTTGTGTCTTGAGATGCATCAGCTCTGCCTGTGGTGTTTGGTTCCCGCTGCATTCCCAATGTATTTCCAGGGGCTTTGCAGTCTTGGACATATTTGCAAGTGAAAAACCGCTGGATGGCCTTGTAAGCCCGAAGGCAGCGCTGGGCTGAGCTGAGCTGTGTAAGGGCCTGGGAGCCATGGGCTTCTCCTCCTCCTGTTCATCTCAATTCATTACTTCTTGCAAGTGAATTTTCTTTTTTGAGGGTTTTCTGCAAAAGGCACATCTGCACCTCAAACGGAGGTGAAGCAAATGCCTCAAAGCCATCATGGACAGCCTGGGCCAGCTGGTGAGGGTGGCTCTGTGACACCACATTCAGGTGGTCACGTGGCACAGAGGGCGCAGGCACCTCTCGTTGGGGTCGTCATTGGGTAAGACATGAACATTGACCGGAGTGATCTCCTCTTGCCTTGGATGAGCCCAGCTCTACACCATGTTTTAGGGAAGCAGCAATGGCAGTGTTTCCTGTGGGGGTACTGGATCCCTTCCAGCTTTCTTTTCCTCCAGAGAGCCAAGAGACAGCGTGCACAGGAGGCATTTATG